AAACTTCCGTAGATATTTAACACCCCGGTCAGTAAGATCTTTGACCAAATCATAGCTATCAAATGAGACACTTCGGTAGTACTTCTGCATCAAGGTGACATGACCGCCACCACCAATACTGAGAACTTTATTAGCTGCACCACCTTCGGGGATCAATTTGTTTCGGCCAAGAGTGTTGATCGCCATAATTCCTTTTGTGTGAGGATAGAGAAGTTTCCAAACTGGGTGAACTGATGAAAGATTACGCCAAGAAGCTACAGCAGTTGGTTCCATCATCAAATGACATCGAAGAAGATGCGAAATCATCTACAGTAAAAATATTTATAATTTATATTCATTGAACTAATTTGACTGCGTGAAATTTTAAACATTTATATAAACCCAGACCCGTTTCTGTTTGCAAAAGACACACTTGCGGTACCTTGCTGAATGCCACAGCGTAGCAACAAGAACACAAGGAGAATTTTAAACTTTTGAAATTGTATTTTATACGTTCGAACATTCGAAAACGTTTTAATTAACTCTTTTAACAATTTAACTATTTAAGATTAATATTTGTAACTTATAAAAATAAAAGGCAAGATTATTACATGGTCCTTCGAGCCGGATATGTCTACTTAAAGGAGTTAAAAAGCAATTCGAAGAGGAAATCGAGCATTCGTTACAAAAGTTATTTAGACTGCAAATGACGCCATTGACAAGTTTTGTGGAACTGAGACGTAGAAAGATGCGTTGGAGGGTTTTAAAATCTCGTCAGTCGATAAGAAGAAATCCATAAGAAAGCTTGACGAAGCTATTCTGAATGACATTGAAGATGAAGGGAAGATTATGGAAGATATATTTCAGGCTGGTGAAGTGGATGTGTCGATCAATAACATGCTTGTTAAAATTGACAATGTTTTCAAGACAGTTGAAGAGAGCAATGTTTCCTCGCCAGTGGGACTGGCCTGGTACAACCATGTCTATAGCGTAAGTCAGCTAATGCACCCCCTCCTCAGCTAGAGCAAAATTACCAAAACTCTCCTTGAAGAATTTTCTGGAAATCCTACTGATTGGCAATCATTTTACGATAGTTATACAGCTGCTTTTCACACTTTTGTCAGTTTATCTAAAGTAGACAATTTCAACCACTTGGAGAATTCTAATAACATATATACGAAAGCTCTATGACAGTATTGAAGCATATATTCGTAGTCCAGCAAATTTGAACATAGAATGTAAAACATATGGGACTCTTCTGATTCCAATGGTTCTTGCTATACTGCAGAGGAAATGCAGTTGTTGATAAGTCGAAACGTTGGCAAGGATAATTGGAAATTAGATGAGCTACTTAAGGAATTTAGAATTGAGTTAGAGGCTCGAGAAAGGTGCTTGTTGTTACAAAGCACTACAGAGAAAAAGACGGTACCAGGAAAAACTTTGAGCCTAGTACACCATCAGCACTTTTCACGGGAATTTGACAATCGTTCAATCCAAATATGTACGCACTGTGGAAACAACATTTATCATCACGGTGTAATATAATTACACATATTTCAGCAGCTAGAGCTATCCTCCAAAAAAATGGAGGGTGTTTCGCATGTTTGAAGTCTGGTCATATAGTCACATATTGTCTTTCGAAGTTTAAATGCCAGATATGTGGAAATAACCATCACGTTTCACTCTGTGAAGGTATAAAATCAAGAGAGAATCCTAGAAAATCCAACCAGAATAAAAAAAACAGCCACCCTTTCAGGCCAAGGGAAATAAAACATCAACTAATGTTTGCGCAAACAGCAATTCCTCGGTGCTTTTGCAAACTGCAAAGGCTATGGTGGGAAACCCTGATGTCCCTCAACAGCAGAGAGTGCAATCAAGAATTGTTTTCAGAGATCTTATTTATCAAATCGGCTGAAGAATTCATTGAGTAAAAAAATTACGGGAACCATGCACTGCGTATTTTAATAAAAAAATTTCGGAGTTACTGTTGTTTTATATTTATTGAGTGTCCAACGTGTTAATTAACAATCCTGTTTAGTTAAAACATTTGGCAATGACTCCCCAAAATTGATGTCATGTGATCTAGTCCAACTCTCTATTACAACCACTGATGGCTTGAAATTGTATGTGAATGCTTTTACTGTCCCTATAGAATGTAATATTTCTAACTAAGCAGTACAAGTAGCAGTGGAGAAATAGTGGCATTTAATTGGTTTAGACATAGCAGAAAACAGTAGACAATCTAGTGATGCCGACATTGACATTCTCCTTGGAGCCGATTTGCATTGGAACTTTCATTGTGTCTAATGAGTCAGGCGAATGACGTGAACCTGTTGCCATGTCAAACTAAGCTAGCGTGGGCTTTATCTGGCTCAATTGATCACCTCTGTGAAGAATGTAATTTTACGACCAACTTCGCTGCAACTTATGTATTACGGATTGATGCTACCGCATTTCAGGTTAACCTAAACCCGAACATGACCGAGCAACTTAAAAAAATTTGGGACTTAGAGTCTATAGGCATTCGAGGTGATGAAAGTTCGGTCTATGCCAAGTTTGTTGAAGAAGTTAGATTTAATGCGGAGAAGTATGAAGCAAAATTACCCTTTAAAGAGCACCATACCACCATTCCTGATACCCACACTTTTAGTGTTAGTTAGTAAACACATGGCTATAGGCAAATAAGTTAAGTTTAATTATTACATGATTGACGCGGTTTTCTTTGTTATTCATAGACCTTTATTTTCCATAATGTCTTTCAAGTATATAAAAGCCCGGGGAGGGATTTGATATTCAGCAGGAAAGAGTGGGGCTGATGAATTGAATTGAATTACTAATTAGCTATTCTAGTGCAATATCTGTATATTGCGCTGAGCTCCAGTGCAATATATGTATATTGCACTCAGTTTGAGTGCAATATATCTATATTGCACTTGAATAATTATGTAATGTATCTCGCTTTTGAATTTCGAATTCTTTAGACCCCATATATATTCCATCCTCTTCTCTTCTCTTTTAGAATGTCAAACCCTCTTTAAACTTTATAAATACATACCACACACATACCACAGCATAATTGGTATAAACTATTTGGAGGATAGAATTGTCCAGGTTCGTCCCTTTTCCGAATCTCAACGACAAATTTGGCCAACCAGTAATTAAGTTCATCATTACTATTCGTCAAAACGTCCGCATTCACAATCTTTTCTCGACAAGCTGACGCTAAAACTACATTGTTTCGCTCAACCGCCCAGTCATTCCAAACTCGTAGTGCCCATGAAGTGCTTAGTTTTGTGTTATTCGGTATACGAGCATCTTTTCTTTCGTTAATCAATTCTTCGTCTGTAACGAGAGCAATATTTCTTTTGGGCACAGACACAGGAGGTCGAAATAATGTTTCTTCGTTTCTAATCACCGGTACATTTTGTACACCGTCCTTCACGCCTCCAATATTCTCGTTATTAATCGTTTCTAGTGACAAAATATCACTAAAAAGATCGAAATCAGTGCTTGCAGTCTGCGAAGTATCATTTAGGAATACGTTTTGAGTTAAACCACTCAAATCGGCCTCATCGCTACTCGACATTTCTTCGACAACTCGCTTTGGACAAGAACATTAAATTCAGATTGCATAAAATGCCAACGGCAACGCTAATATATTTTACATGGGCATATTTTTCAAACTTGCACATGCACATAGGCACAAAGGCACTTAAACCTAATTTGATTGACTATGCATGCACAATATAAAACAATGTCCTATTGTATTTTTACCGGCGATTACTTAACTACACTTTATTTGTCATTTGCTTCACTACATAGACTCATCAATAGCCAATCCAAACGCAGCGCATATGGACAATGGGCGAAAACCTTGTCAATCATGTAATAAGTCAGTTAACCCTCGCACCAGTTAGTTAACCAATAAGTCAGTTAACCAATAAGTCAGTTAACCCTCGAACCTCGGCATTTATCCATATACAGCCCTCGGCGCTACGCGCCTCGGGCTGTATATGGCTAAATGCCTCGCTTCTCGGTAATTAACTCTTACATATTGCCAAGACTGAATTTATGATTTTTGGGTCTGGACGAAGACTTTTAACCTTTGATAATCAGAATGTGGAAGTATGTGTTAATAAATTAATAGAGTGTTGAAGTCTAAATCATTGGGTTTAACAATTGACGAGAACTTGACTTGGAAATATCATCTTGATAATATGACGAAAAAAGTTTCTTCCGGTATCGGCGCTTTCAAACGAGTAAGAGATTTTATTACCAGGGAAACTGCAATTTGAGTTTATCAAAATTTGGTGGAGCCCTATTTTTCCTATTGTGCCCTGTTTGGGATGGCCTAGGTAAAAAGCAAAGCGAGAAATTACAAAAATTACAGAATTGGGCCGCCCGTGTTATTACCCGTTCATCTTCATGATATTTCATCAAGTTCTCTTCTTGATGAACTCAATTGGGAATCATTGTCCACTAAGCGATTATAGCAAAAGGTAATCCTCATGTTTAATACTATTAACAAACATACACCATTCTAGTTACAAGAGATGTTTTCTCCTAGTGAGAGTGTTTATAAGCTGAGAGATTCTTATGGCAAACTCTATGTCCCAAAACCACGCACAGATTATTTGACACGCTGCCTTAGTTACAGTGGAACCACTTTATGGAATGGCCTGCCAGAATCTTTAAGATCAGTAACCTCTCTCGCTGCTTTTAAGACAGGTTTAGAAGCCTTCTTAATAAATAATTGATCTGACTCCCACACGGCAATCAGGTAGAACAGTATCTATATTTCTTTTACTCCTCTTTAAAATATTTTAATATATATATATATGTATTAATTATACTGATGATTCTCCGTGTTTAAATAAAGTTGATGTATGTATGTATGTATGTATGTATGTAGTGTAAAAAGATTAGGAAGGTTAGCTCATCAACTCCAAGATTCATACCTAATTTTAGTATGCAGTGATAACCAATTGGTGCAGTGATAAATGTAAAATGTGCAGTGATAAATTTGCTGTCATAAGTTGTTAATTAAAAGAAAGTGAGGAAATGAGCAGAAAAAGTGAACTAAAAATAAACATTTTGAATGAGAATAATTTGAATGGATTTGAAATGATAACTGCCAAATTATCGAACGTCCGCACTATTATACCTAATTAAGGTTCATCAGATCAACAAATTCTCTCACCAGAAATCTCTTTATGAGCCTTGTCGATGGAGTGAATGATACTTGGCTTTTTGTAATTTGCGCATAATCGTCGGAATTCTATAGAATGTTCCGCACATTGCAGGAAATGCCTTTTTAGAAAGGCTAGATTAAAGCATTTTCTGTTGGTACATGCCACTGGAACTTCTCCAGAGGTTTTTCACGTCTAAGCCATCTTTCATTTGCCAAGGCGAAAATATTTCTTTTCTACAAGCATGTGATTATGAAACTATGCTGTCTTAGATAGTCGTAACTGCAGGTGCAGTCAAAGCCGCCCAGAGAGGTGAAGGGGGCAATTTGCTCTGGGGCCCCAGTTAAAGGGGCCCCAATAAAGAATTTACAGTGAAATATACATAAATATAACTGTCAATTTTAGACTTTCAGAATGCAGGATTTGGCCATTTCTGGGACCTGAGATTTCAAAATTTTCCCAGGGAGAATATCCCCGGTCCTCCTAATCGTAGTGTTAGAAGATGGAATCACAAGGTGCCCCTAGTCAAATTTTGCTCTGGACCCCCAAATCAATTTCCCTGGGTGCTGTGTAGTGTACGCTGGTTTTGGCATTGTTGAATATCAATTGTAGCCTGTTTTCTGATTACACATTATTATAAGAGTGTGTTCAGATATTATCAGGGCGTGTTTCTGCTTGGCTAAACTTTGGACAAAAATGTGCTTTTATAAAAAATTCTTAAAATTAGGTATGCCAAGATCAACCTACTCTTCGTACTGAATATGAAAAGATAATTCAAAGCCAAGTTCAGAAAAGAATTGTGGAACCTGTTGACCCACAAGTTTTTCCAAAGGCTGGCAATGTGCACTAAGACAACAGAAGCTACTTTGAATGGATGTTTGTATACTGGATCTTCTCTAACCCCACTGATTTTCTACATCCTACTGCGTTTCCGTGTCCACCCAGTTGCCATGCTTAAATGACCCTAACCTGCGATCAGGCCTTTAAATAAATAAATAGGCCTGATACAAATCTTAAGAACAGTCCATGCCGTTACAACCGTATTTCGGTTGTAAATCTGATTAGTCTATGAGACACAAGATTTTTTAATCTGTCATTTGATTGGTTGGTGCTAATTAAATTAGACTATTTAATATTGTTGATATATAGTGATCACAACTATAGTTAGATTGCTGTTGTCGTTGTGTGAAATTTAAATTTCTACTGCGACATTTTGAGTGTATACTAAATATAAACTTTGCTGTGGGTGGAAAGCGATCGGCTTAATGTTTGTGTCAGGCTCTATTTAATAGAGCCTGATCTCATGTTAAAATTACAGATTACAGATGTTTCACAGCACACTCCCTATCAGGGCTTTTCAGTGACTGGCTACATTTGAATAGATAGACAGAACCGGACTGAAGTGAAGCAGACCGAGGTAGACTTTGAGCTTACAAATGGCGCTTGAGCAGCCGCTATTAGTCCATACCTCATTAATGATCTGCCTCCAGACCTATGTGCCTAACCCACCCTTTCAACTTTCCCTGTGGGAGGAAACACGGAGTACCCGGAGAAAACCCACGACTTTCGGCAGAGCGTTGACTTTTTACTCTTTTCACATGAGGACTGGATTCGAATCACATTGAGAAGAGAATACTGGAGCAGTCTTAGTGAGTACTATCGGTAAAGACGGTAAGGTGACTACATTGGATCGACCTTTTGAAAAGTTGTAACCTTTAGAACTTGAATTGGAACAGGAACATCCTTGAAACTTTCCAACTACGTTTATCGGGCATGGACGTCAGGCAAAATAATTCCAATTAGTTACTTAATTTCGTTGAATGGTTGTCACTATTCAAGAGTGAGAGTATTATAATTAATGATGTTACAGTAATTAGTGTGAGCACCTGGAATATTAATTACTTTTGTGGTTGTTCTGAGTTTAGTGAGTTAAGAGGTGAAATATAAGTTTTGTAAATTTATTTTTTATTTAAAAACGAGATTGGTTCAATAATTTGAGTATACTTCAATTTATTACAAATAGCGATAGTAATAGCTACATATTTTATTAATACCAGTAGTGATCACATTTGATTTGGTCATTTGCCTGAACACATTTTTTATTAACTATAATTGGCTGGTTGAATACTATAATTAAACCTGATTGATCAAAAAAATTATGCCACTACAGCACGAGCTGATGCGAGAATTTTGAAATCGCACTCCGACTACGATAACTACGGTGGCCCACAGGTGTCAGTACATACACAAAATCGAATACCGAAATCAAAGTCAAAAACGTAATTCTAAACTTAAAACACTAGTCCAAATTATCAACTCACAATTCGAAATTATCAACTCACAATTAAAAATTCTCAACTCACAATTCAAAATTCTCAACGCACAATTCAATATTGTCAACTCACAAATCAAAATTCTCAACTCACAAATCAAAATTGTCAACTCACAATTCAAAATTGTCAACTTACAATTCAATATTGTCAACTCGCAAATCAAAATTCTCAACTCACAATTCAAAATTCTCAACTCAGTGAACTCACAATTCAAAATTCTCAACTCATCAACATGCCGGGACACAATAATAGGCAGACATGAAGTATTTTTGCCGTGTGTTTTGATGTTATGTACTCAGGTGAATATAATGTAAGATAATACTAAAAATCATGATCATAGAACACATTGGTCATTGGTATATCGAAGGTACTAGACGTAGTTCTGAAATACCACACACCCGAACTGTTGGCCTCGTAACTCAGTTGGCAAATCATTGGACCACAGAATAGAATATATTTTATTTTCTATTCTGTGATTGGACTAGTATCCCAAAGGTCGCGGTTCGATTCCCACCGTGGTCAGCTAACTTTTCAGCCTGCCCGATGTGGATATATTATACACTCAGAGTAACATAAAAAAAACAAGACATGAAGGACATGAAGTAGTTAAGGTTACCCCACATGATGGAAACCCATTTCACCAAAATGCTCACCGCCTCAATTTTCAAGTTTTCCCCTTCAAATTTTGCATACATAATGATACATTATTGCTGTAGCTAACGATTTACCAAAAGTTTTACATCTTTAAAACTGTACTTGCTACGGGTTGCTTTTGAAAATATGACGGCCTTTGCGCCACGAGATCAAAACGCTTCTGATTTAACTCAAAGGCTTCCGAAACATAATATTTCCATATTTCCCATCTCAAATGATCAAAGAACAAAACCGTGTTCGCATTTTTTGACAGGTATTGTATTTGCTTTGATATAAAGCAGACAAGTTGACTCATCTAAATTTTGGGAGAACGGCAGAACAGATGCCTATGACTTGAAAAGTATGCCACTAAATAAACTAGGGATCCAAGGATAGTGTGAAGTTTCGAATTGAAAAAGACACTGCAAGAACTATATATGGTCGTCGACAACCTAGAAAAGCTGATGGCTTACATCTCATTATTTATTGCTTTTAATACGCTCGGCACACGAGTAGCGTGACGTTTGAAACAAGCCTAACACATAAGAAACTTGCCTTGTGAAACTGATGCAATTCATCTATTTATTGTGATGCTACACAATGCTAAATTTTCATTTGTATTGGCAGCTGTCGCTAAAAGTTCCCCACGAGGCTACTGCTATGCTAAATTTATCTAAAACTATAATTGAAATAGCTGTATAAGATATGTTATGAATAATAAGCACTACGTCGTTACATCATTAAAAGGACGCATTTTATTCTCATCCGTTCCGTATTCTATCCGCATATCCGGTCCGTGGATCCGCTGCATCCGCTTCCGCATTTTAACCTAATTGCGACATGCTTCACAATAACACAATAACAAGTTTCACTGACCTTTGACTTTTCCCAGTGTCACGTCTATTTTCAGCTTTTCGCATGTGTTGAATAATGTCACTTTAGATTTCAATAGTTTTACAATTAAGCAGTGTTTAAAGCAGTTTTGACAAGCTTTGATCAGTTCTGTTTACAGAATACTACAGATTGATTCTCGTAAGATCTGGTAGAGTTATCGTTGCACTGAACAAGAGTTTACACCGTTGACAACGGCATTGTGCTAGACAGTAAACAAAGACAAGGCCCGTGACGGTACACGTTGGCTACATGTACCTCCTTGCTTTTTTTTTCTATTGCATAAAGCTTGTTGGCGAGCCAAGCGATTGGCGATAACACGTTGGTGATAACGCATTGGCTATCTCCTCGTCTTTCTTATTTAATTAAGGAGCTCTGACTCGCAAGTTATTTTCTTCGTAAACGCCGTACAAACGTTTACCCGCTTCTGTTTAATAGTTGTTTCGCTCTTTGTACTGAGCGTAGCCATCTATTCTGTGATGTATACACCTTATACAGTCAATAACAGTGTATAATGAATACACGTTCTAAATAATATCGATGGGCACTTAATTGAATACCGGTAATGCACAACATATTAATACTACATAATAGTATTATTAATATTGCGTAGAATCTCAAAGGACAAAGATTTTTGCGTAGAATCTCAACGGACAAAGATTTTCTCAATATTCATGTCTGAAATGTTCATATACTTGAAAACAACACTGTCTCGCTTCTGCCTACGTATACTGTACCTCTGTATAACGAGTATGCCGTGAAAATAATATCGGCACTCAATTGAATGCCTAGAATCTCAAAGATTTTCTCAATATTTACGTCTGAAATGTTTATACATTTGAAAACAACACTGTCACGTCGCTCCTTCCTAGCTCTGTATATTAATGAATATACCGTCCACATATATCAGTACTTGATTGAAAGACCGTCATGCATAACATAAATTTATTTATTGCGTAGATTCTCAAAGATTTACTCAATATTCACGTCTAAAATGTTTAAATTAATACATTTGAAAACAACACTGTCGCTCCTTCCTAGCATCGTGATCTACGGCTTCATAGCGGATGCGCATTTGCCCTGCTATAGAAAAAATCGGGTGTTCCGGGGGGAAAGATCCTTTACACAACATGAGAAGCGAATGTTCTGAAATTACAAAAATTTACAATAACGACAACGATTCCTCGAAATTTTTGTGAACTTGGCAAAAGGACAAAAGAATATTTAAAGGAAATAAATAAAATTGCTTAAATAACCTTCAAAGCACTGACTAAGTACAATAAATCACTGCGAACATAAATCGTATACACCCCCCGGAAAGTTTACTCTATGACTGACTGAGTGACTGATTGCCTGACTGACTGATTGCCTGACTGACTGATTGCCTGACTGACTGATTCGTGTGAATTCGCCAGCCATCACAACAGTGTGAAGTGAAACTTCACACTAAAAACAATGGGTAGCTAGCATGCACCGACAGGACTGGATGCCCAGCAGTTCCTCCAGAATATGTTCTGATCACTTTCTTGAGAAATACATAGACAGAACGTCACAATGCAGTGTTCATCTCAGAGAAAATGC